ATATCATGTTGGTATCACTTGAAGAATTCATTAAACTGATATTCAAGAACAATTGTTCTTTGTTGACATTCAGGATCAGCTGTTGTTTGTTGACATTCAAGATCAGCTGTTCTTTGTTGACTTTCAAGATCAGCTGACCCAAGTATACAATAATACATCAGCTGATCCATGGTGAGACATCAGCTGATCCCTGTTTACTTCCTAGATCAGCTGACCCATGTCAGCTGATCGACATCGACGTAGCATCAGCTGACGTACTTATGTTCCCACTTACCAAAATCTGGAACTCCACAGTGTTCAGTGGCTGCTTCTTGACAATAACTGCAGTGACTATTGTACCAACACGCGCATCCTGGGAAGGCAAAAACAGAATACATCAGTCAGTCAGTCAATCAATTAGTCAATAAACACAATCTGCAGAGCAATGAATTGGATGACTATAGAAATGAAGCATGCAGAGCATGCTCTAGTTGGGACAACCAGCACTACCACCCCTTAACTACCACCGCTACTACCTTTCCATTACCTCCCCTCCACTACCGGTCCTCCACTACCATAACTACCACCCCTCCACTGCCACAACTACTACCCCTCCACTACTCCACTTCCAAAACTTCCACCCCTCCTTTACCACAACTATCACCAATACACTATCACTACTCCACTACCAAAACTACCACCCCTCTAAAACTACAACTACCACTCATCCACCACCCCAGTTCCACAACTACCACCCCCTCAATAAACAACACACTATAAGGAACTAGCGTCACGCCTGCTTTTCAAGCCCTGTGATTACTACTGAGCGCCAGAGCTCACTCAGGTACGTCACTACGTCACCACTGTTGTACTTGCATTAACCCTGGCAGTCAGTGTATTAACTCTGACAGTCAGTGTATTAACTCTGACAGTCATTGTATTAACCCTGGCAGCGTATTAACCCTGGCAGTGTATTAACCCTGGCAGTCAGTGTATTAACCCTGACAGTCAGTGTATTAACCCTGGCAGTGTATTAACCATGACGGTTAGTGTATTAACCCTGGCAGTGTATTAACTCTGACAGTCAGTGTATTAACCCTGACAGTCATTATTTTAACCCTGACAGTCAGTGTATTCGGTGTATTAACCCTGACAGTGTATTAACCTTGACAGTCAGTGTATTAACCCTGACAGTCATTATTTTAACCCTGACAGTCAGTGTATTCGGTGTATTAACCCTGACAGTCAGTGTATTAACCCTGACAGTCAGTGTATTCGGTGTATTAACCCTGACAGTCAGTGTATTAACCCTGACAGTCAGTGTATTCGGTGTATTAACCCTGACAGCCATTATAGTAACCCTGGCAAATAAGATCACCCTCCAAGAACGACTACCATCTACTCCAAGAACGACTGCTATTTACTTCAAGAATGACTACCATCTACTCCAAGAACGACTACTATTTACTTCAAGAACGACTACCATCTACTCCAAGAACGACTACCATCTACTCCAAGAACGACTACCAACTACAAGAACAACTACCATTATTTCAGGAACGACTACCATTTACTCCAAGGACGACCACCATTTACTCCAAGGACGACTACCATTTACTCCAAGAACGACTACCAACTACAAGAACAACTACCATTTTTTCAAGAACGACTACCATTTACTCCAAGAACGACTACCACCTACTTCAAGAACGACTACCTCCTATTCCAAGAACGACTACCATCTACCCCAAGAACGACTACCATTTATTTCAAGAACGACTACCATCTAATTCAAGAACGACTACCATTTACAAGAACAACTACCATTATTTCAAGAACGACTACCATCTACCCCAAGAACGACTATCATCTACTTCATGAACGACTACCATCTACTTCAAGAACGACTACCATCTACTTCAAGAACGACTACCACCTAATTAAAGAACGACTACTATCTACTACAAGGACGACTACCCTTATTCCAAGAATGACTAAAATCTACTCCAAGAGCGACTGTCTACTTCAAGAACGACTGCCATCTACTTCAAGAACGACTACCACTTACTTCAAGAATGAATATCTACTTCAAGAACGACTACCATCTACCCCAAGAACGATTATCTACTCTTAGAACGACTATCTACTCTTAGAACGACTATCTACTCTTAGAACGACTATCTACTTCAAGAACGAATATCTTCTACTCTAACAATGACTACCATCGAATAACGACCACTCTCCAAGAACAACTACCCTACATGAACGACCACCATCTACAAGATCGTACCACTACTCACCTCGGGTACGACAGCCGAGGCAGAGTGCTTGAGGAAGATGTCGGAGGTCGGGGTACGACCCGAGGTCGGGAAGATGCGAGAGACGACCTCAGTGTCGTCTCCCTGAGTGTCAGCCACCGTCAGGATGAAGGTGTAGTTCTTACGACTGCTGAGGCGCTGACGTAGGTACACGTAGCCAAACTCGTAGTCTGATTCTACACTCACCATGTCACTGTCCACACCTGTAGTAGGTGGAGATGACAAGTGTTAGTGAGACGGTGAGTCAGGGAGAGGGTGGGTGAGACGGTGAGTCAGGGAGAGTGTTAGTGAAACGGTGAGAGGAGACGGGGAGGTGAGTCAGGGAGTGTTAGACGGTGAGTCAGGAAGATTGTGGGTAAGGGAGAATGTGAGTCAATGAGAGGGTTGGTAAGGGAGAATGTGAATCAGGGAGAGGGTGAGTCAAGGATAGGGTGAGTCAGGAAGAGGGTGAGCCAGGGAGAGGGTGAGTCGGGGAGAGTGAACCAGGGAGAGGGTGAGTCAGGGAGAGGGTGTAACCAGAAAGAGGGCAAGTCAGGAGAGGTGAGTCAGAGAGAGAGTCAGGGAGAGGGTGAACCAGAAAGAGGCCAAGTCAGGGAGAGGGTGAGTCGGGGAGAGGGTGAACCAGGGAGAGGGTGAGTCAGGGAGAGGGTGAACCAGAAAGAGGGCAAGTCAGGGAGAGGGTGAGTCAGGAGAGAGTCAGGGAGAGGGTGAACCAGAAAGAGGCCAAGTCAGGGAGGGGTTGAGTCAGGGAGAGGGAGAGGTCAGGGAGAGGGCGAGCCAGGTAGAGGTGAGTCAGTGAGAGATGAAAGTGAGAGGGTGAGTTACAGGGTGGAGACACAGGTAATATAATAACAATAATAATATAATAATAATAATAATAATAATAAAATAATAATAAAATAATAATATAATAATAATAATTAATTAAATAATAATAATAATAAATTAAATAAAATAATAATAATTAATAATAAATATAATAATAAAATAAAACAGTAATATAAATTTCCAACAGGTGTGAAGGAACTTACCCACACATGTACCCGCGCCTGGGTATCGAACCCGTGACCTTGAGACTGCGAACCCAGTGCCCCCGACACCCAGTGAGCTACGGGTGCCCACGAGGAAGGAGGTGAGTGAAGCTCACTGAATTATTCATTAATTCACGACTGTTGCGTAAACAGTGAGGCTTGTGGCGTACCAGAGCTCTACACAGTGAGGCTTGTGGCGTACCAGAGCTCTACACAGTGAGGCTTGTGGCGTGCCAGAGCTCTACACAGTGAGGCTTGTGGCGTGCCAGAGCTCTACACAGTGAGGCTTGTGGCGTACCAGAGCTCTACACAGTGAGGCTTGTGGCCGTGCCAGAGCTCTACACAGTGAGGCTTGTGGCGTGCCAGAGCTCTACACAGTGAGGCTTGTGCGTACCAGAGCTCTACACAGTGAGGCTTGTGGCGTACCAGAGCTCTACACAGTGAGGCTTGTGGCGTGCCAGAGCTCTACACAGTGAGCTTGTGGCGTGCCAGAGCTCTACACAGTGAGGCTTGTGGCGTGCCAGAGCTTCACACAGTGAGGCTTGTGGCGTGCCAGAGCTCTACACAGTGAGGCTTGTGGCGTGCCAGAGCTCTACACAGTGAGGCTTGTGGCGTGCCAGAGCTCTACACAGTGAGGCTTGTGCGTGCCAGAGCTCTACACAGTGAGGCTTGTGGCGTGCCAGAGCACTACACAGTGAGGCTTGTGGCGTGCCAGAGCTCTACACAGTGAGGCTTGTGGCGTACCAGAGCTCTACACAGTGAGGCTTGTGCCGTGCCAGAGCTCTACACAGTGAGGCTTGTGGCGTGCCAGAGCTCTACACAGTGAGGCTTGTGGCGTACCAGAGCTCTACACAGTGAGGCTTGTGCCGTGCCAGAGCTCTACACAGTGAGGCTTGTGGGCGTGCCAGAGCTCTACACAGTGAGGCTTGTGGCGTGCCAGAGCTCTACACAGTGAGGCTTGTGGCGTGCCAGAGCTCTACACAGTGAGGCTTGTGGCGTGCCAGAGCTCTACACAGTGAGGCTTGTGGCGTGCCAGAGCTCTACACAGTGAGGCTTGTGGCGTGCCAGAGCTCTACACAGTGAGGCTTGTGGCGTGCCAGAGCACTACACAGTGAGGCTTGTGGCGTGCCAGAGCTCTACACAGTGAGGCTTGTGGCGTGCCAGAGCTCTACACAGTGAGGCTTGTGGCGTGCCAGAGCTCTACACAGTGAGGCTTGTGGCGTGCCAGAGCACTACACAGTGAGGCTTGTGGCGTGCCAGAGCTCTACACAGTGAGGCTTGTGGCGTGCCAGAGCTCTACACAGTGAGGCTTGTGGGCGTGCCAGAGCTCTACACAGTGAGGCTTGTGGCGTGCCAGGCACTACACAGTGAGGCTTGTGGCGTGACGAGCTCTACACAGTGAGGCTTGTGGCGTGCCGAGCTCTACACAGTGAGGCTTGTGGCGTGCAGAGCTCTACACAGTGAGGCTTGTGCCGTGCCAGAGCTCTACACAGTGAGGCTTGTCCCGTGCCAGAGCTCTACACAGTGAGGCTTGTGGCGTGCCAGAGCTCTACACAGTGAGGCTTGTCCCGTGCCAGAGCACTACACAGTGAGGCTTGTGCCGTGCCAGAGCACTACACAGTGAGGCTTGTGCCGTGCCAGAGCTCTACACAGTGAGGCTTGTGCCGTGCCAGAGCTCTACACAGTGAGGCTTGTGCCGTGCCAGAGCTCTACACAGTGAGGCTTGTGGCGTGCCAGAGCTCTACACAGTGAGGCTTGTGCCGTGCCATAAGCTCTACACAGTGAGGCTTGTGGCCGTGCCAGAGCTCTACACAGTGAGGCTGTTGCGTGCACAGAGCCACACAGTGAGGCTTGTGCCGTGCCAGAGCTCTACACAGTGAGGCTTGTGCGTGCCAGAGCTCTACACAGTGAGGCTTGTGCGTGCCAGAGCACTTACACAGTGAGGCTTGTGCCGTGCCAGAGCTCTACACAGTGAGGCTTGTGCGTGCCAGAGCTCTACACAGTGAGGCTTTGTGCCTGCCAGAGCTCTACAACAGTGAGGCTTGTGCGGGCCAGAGCTCTACACAGTGAGGCTTGTGGCGTGCCAGAGCTCTACACAATGAGGCTTGTGCCGTGCCAGAGCTCTACACAGTGAGGCTTGTGGCGTGCCAGAGCTCTACACAGTGAGGCTTGTGGCGTGCCAGAGCACTACACAGTGAGGCTGTGGCGTGCAGAGCTCTACACATGAGGCTTGTGCCGGCAGAGCTCTACACAGTGAGGGCCTTGTGGCGTGCCAGAGCTCTAACACAGTGAGGCTGTGGCGTGCCAGAGCTCTACACAATGAGGCTTGTGCCGTGCCAGAGCTCTACACAGTGAGGCTTGTGGCGTGCCAGAGCTCTACACAGTGAGGCTTGTGGCGTGCCAGAGCTCTACACAGTGAGGCTTGTGCCGTGCCAGAGCTCTACACAGTGAGGTTTGTGGCGTGCCAGAGCTCTACACAGTGAGGCTTGTGCCGTGCCAGAGCTCTACACAGTGAGGCTTGTGGCGTGCCAGAGCTCTACACAGTGAGGCTTGTGCGTGCCAGAGCTCTACACAGTGAGGCTTGTGCCGTGCCAGAGCCTACACAGTGAGGCTTGTGGCGTGCCAGAGCTCTACACACAGTGAGGCTTGTGCGTGCCAGAGCTCTACACAGTGAGGCTTGTGGCGTGACAGAGCTCTACACAGTGAGGCTTGTGGCGTGCCAGGCCTCACAGTGATGAGCTTGTGGCGTGCCAGAGCTCTACACAGTGAGGCTTGTGGCGTACCAGAGCTCTACACAGTGAGGCTTGTGGCGTGCCAGAGCTCTACACAGTGAGGCTTGTGGCGTGCCAGAGCTCTACACAGTGAGGCTTGTGGCGTGCCAGAGCTCTACACGTGAGGCTTGTGGCGTGCCAGAGCTCTACACAGTGAGCTTGTGGCGTGCCAGAGCTCACACAGTGAGGCTGTGGCGTGCCAGAGCTCTACACAGTGAGGCTTGTGGCGTGCCAGAGCTCTACACAGTGAGGCTTGTGGCGTGCCAGAGCTCTACACAGTGAGGTTGTGGCGAGCAGAGCTCTCACAGGAGGCTTGTTGCTGCCAGATGCTTCACAGTGAGGCTTGTGGCGTGCCAGAGCTCTACACAGTGAGGCTTGTGGCGTGCCAGAGCTCTACACAGTGAGGCTTGTGGCGTGCCAGAGCTCTACACAGTGAGGCTTGTGGCGTGCCAGAGCTCTACACAGTGAGGCTTGTGGCGTGCCAGAGCTCTAACAGTGAGGCTTGTGGCGTGCCAGAGCTTACACAGTGAGGCTTGTGGCGTGCCAGAGCTCTACACAGTGAGGCTTGTGGCGTGCCAGAGCTCTACACAGTGAGGCTTGTGCCGTGCCAGAGCTCTACACAGTGAGGATTGTGCCGTGCCAGAGCTCTACACAGTGAGGCTTGTGGCGTGCCAGAGCTCTACACGGTGAAACAAGACTTGATAAAGCTCTACACAGTGAAACAAGAGTTGATAAAGCTCTACACAGTGAAACAAGACTTGATAAAGCTCTACACAGTGAAACAAGAGTTGATAAAGCTCTACACAGTGAAACAAGAGTTGATAAAGCTCTACACAGTGAAACAAGACTTGATAAAGCTCTACACAGTGAAACAAGAGTTGATAAAGCTCTACACAGTGAAACAAGACTTGATAAAGCTCTACACAGTGAAACAAGACTTGATAAAGCTCTACACAGTGAAACAAGAGTTGATAAAGCTCTACACAGTGAAACAAGACTTGATAAAGCTCTACACAGTGAAACAAGAGTTGATAAAGCTCTACATAGTGAATCATGACTTGATAAAGCTCTACACAGTGAAACAAGAGTTGATAAAGCTCTACACAGTGAAACAAGACTTGATAAAGCTCTACACAGTGAAACAAGAGTTGATAAAGCTCTACATAGTGAATCATGACTTGATAAAGCTCTACAAGAAGCGAAACATAACTTGATAAAGTTCAACAAAGAGTGAAATATAACTTAATTAAGCTCTACACAGAGAAAAACATAACTTGATAAAATTCAACAAAGAGTGAAATATAACTTAATTAAGCTCTACACAGAGAAAAACATAACTTGATAAAGTTCAACAAGGAGTGAAGCATTACTTAATAAAGTTCTACGCAGAAGGAAACATAA